GGGTTGCGCGATCAGAGAGGGTCGGCACACGAGCCAAGTAAGAGGTGAGTAGAGCAGGAGTCGGGCGACCCGACGAGCTGGTGCCAAACGCGCGGGGTTGACGTGGGCCACGACGGACTGTGGGCACGGGCGAACCTGACGGGTGCGTGAGGACTAAGCAGGGTGACGGCTTCGTGGGTTGGTGCACGACGACGGACTGTCCGCAACGGAGAAGAAGAGCGAGGGAGAGAGAGTTGAGGTCGATGAACGTGGAGTTGCTGTTTCTTTCATCTTTTCTCCCCCCCCTGTCTCGTGTATATAAATTTTGATTTCGGCTTTGGGCGATCTGCCCATTTTCTGTTTCTCGGAATCTGGGCTTGGGTTTTTGCTCACATTTGCCCTCGCGATTCTTCCACCTCTGATGTGTTATGTGTATGATTACTGAATGGATGGATGTATGGATGCCATGTTTGATTGCCTATCTTTTTGTTGGGAACCCTTGTCTTTGCTTTTGTTTGTCGCATTCGATGCACTCGTGTGTAGAATAGGAATTTTGCGCAATCGATAATCCTGTCCTTCTCTTTGCTTGCCTTTTGATCGAGCTGATTGTGATCGTTGCATCTTGCATGCTCAGAACAGCACGGAGTGATTAGACGATCGGATGTTGGGCCTGGCGAACGCCGCGCAAGGACACGTGTTAAACGCGATCTGAGTTGCGCACTTAGACGTATCCCCGGGCGTCGACTCGTCAGGGCCATCGATCGCAGATGCCCTGTCCGATTGGGAGTGGCCATCCCGGAATCCGCAACGGCGCAGTTGTCCTGCACGAGCACGCGTAAGTCCGACGCCATTCGCGTGGCCTGCACATGCTCACACGCGGCAATCGCGATCGCTGCGGACCCGCCCTTAGGCAACTCATAATACCGCAATGACACAATGACGCGATCCTGGAATTCCGACTCATCGTACGACCCAGATTACTTCACCCCTTGGATAAACGAAATCCTGAGACAGAGATACCCCTGCCATACTGAGAACCGACTGTGTCCTCGGGAATTCCACTGCGCCAGCACTAGCGACCCCCGGTGCTCTGATTTCCGGTGCTCTGATTTCCCTTCTCCGGACCATACCTACTACTTCATCCACCCCGGATTTGTCGTTATCACCACCTGTTTCCCTCCCTTTTGCCTTCTTCTTCTGTATCATCAACTCAGCGTCGTCCCGAGGCCGGCCATAGCCCCCTACTGGCCCAGCACACCCTGCGGGAACTGTCGACGACGCGGCGATCAGAGAACCCCGGAGTTCCGGAGGCCTAACCCGAACGCGCGACGACCAGCGCCACGTGGCAACTCCCGACAGCCTGACTCATCGGAACCCCACCTACCCCAAGGGGACCCGCCCGCGAACCGCCGTCCCCGAAACCAACGGCTCTCTCGGTCTTGAGAGACCCGCGCATACCATCGCCTTGTAACCCAAGGCGATCCGCCCTCTCCGCCAAATTGCACTCGTGCCCCCGAAGACCCTGTCACAGGAGATCTCAGTTCTGACCTGGGACTCCACTTTCCCCAAAAATCCTTGGCACACCCCTTTCCGCACTTCCAGGCCCACATCCTACTCCGATCAAGAAGTCGCGTCGGGCGTGAGGTTGGGGCGTCACAAGTAAGCGAGGGCGGGGGGAATGATTGGGGGGGTTACAACTTATCGCGCTTTTCTCCGTTGCTTCTCGTGCATGGCTTGTTGCTGACCTGTCGACTCATGTCGAGGGGACTCCGTCCTGATTGGCAGCTGGTCCCTGCTGCCCTATGTTCTGTGTCCTGTTCGTGACGCGTGCTGACGTCTCCAATGGCTGCGGTTTGTGGAGGTTGCTTCTCCTCCTGGGGTGTTGGCTGGCGGGCTTCTCGGTTTGTCCGCAGCTTCATGATCGGGACGATGACCGATGGCATGTTGATGATGCTGGCGGCCTTCCTCTTGACCTGGGCGTGTCTTTACACCTCCGTGATGGCGCTCATGTGGGTGGAGAGGAAGGTTGGGGATGGCTCCTCCTCGGTGGGAGGAGCGCTGGCGATGGCTGACTTGGGCGTCCCCTTCGAAATTCGAAGGCGGCTTCGCGACCGTGGGTGGGTGGGAACGGACGGCGCAAGGCGTGCGGGCGGGCAGGCGGGTTCCCGTGGGCTAGGCCCTCAGCGTTCCCCGGTAGTGCAAAATAGCGCACGGGTGCGTTAGACGGGTGGCGCTTACCGAATGGCGCCGGCACTCTCTAAATCGCATTTGGTTTTTTTTTTTTTTTTTTTTTTTTTTTTAAATCCCTCTATTCAACTTACCTCAGAAAAACTGGTTCTCAGGAATCGACATTTTTTCCCCCGAATAGAACGTATTTTCGAATAGTATGTTGTATGATAGTATCCGAATACAACATACGTAGTACGTATGTTGTATTCGGGGTACGCGATGTCTGTGACATTGTTCTTTGAGTTTTGCAGAATTTCAATTTTTTTTTTTTTTTTTTTTTTTAATTTTAGAAGGGCGATGGCCTTGAGGTATTATCATCGGACGAACCAGCCCAGGTAAATTCAATCTTGTGTCTAATGACTCTAATCTGACAACGGTGGCCTTTTCAGCCCAGGGTGGCCTGATAGCCTTAGGGTGGCCTGATAGCCTTCAGGGATCCCCCACTGGGGGGCACCGGCCAGGGGACAGCCGGTAGCAGAGGGACCGAGCATCATCTGAGTGGCCAGTCGCTGTGCCTCCCTGAGTACCCCTCCCCCTATGAACATCAGCAAAGACTGCTTTTTAATGCCAATTGGGGGGACCAACGGGCTATCTCTAGGTGGCGGGCGCCAAGCATGCCCAGGAAGGTACATGAGGCCAATGGGGATTGAACCCAAGACCTCCTGAATGCCACTTGCGTGCCTTACCAACTGAGCTAGGCCGCTGGATAATTTCAAATTTTCAAAGAACTTCAGAGAAAAATTAAAAAATCCAGAAAGGAAAAGTTGTGCAACATTGCAATGCAAACAACTTTTGCCTGGGGATCCTGCCAAAATTCACAACGAAAGCCGAGAAAACAAATGAAAAGAGAATAAAAACATTCTTTTACGGCAAAGATATGCGGGTTTCTGATTTTTTCTGAATTTGTTAGAATGTTTTTTTTTTTTTTTTTAAGTTTTTTTTGTTTTTTTTTTTTAATTAAAGGGAGACAGCCTTCAGATATTATCATTGAGCTGACCGGCCCCAGGCAATTCATTAGTAGTAGTTGGTTTTACTCATCAAATTCCATCATCTGGATTCGAACACAGGTCTGTATTTCAACAGTTCATGGGTGTACCCACTGAGCTAGGCTCTTGGGTTTTTAAGTTTTAAGTTTTAACTCAAAACAAGTCCTGAGAATAGAGGGAGTGAACGTGCCACCGGTTAGCGCTGTGATGCTGCGCTAATCTCTCGCGCCGTCACGCTACCCGACACTGTACCATCGGGCGCCTCGCCCATTGCGTGGAAGCACGTGGGGCTATGGCACAAGGCGACGCCGCGTCGAGCAGCGCTTAGGCAGCGTAGGCATACCACGATGCGGGGAGATACAGTTTCACGGTAGCAAGGGGATTGGGAGGGATCACAGCCGTTGAAGGAGGAGGAGGCTATCTGGCCGTCCAGATCGCATCGGAGGTCACATCTACCCACGAACGGAAGCAGCCGGAGAGATCCCGACCATCAGAGGCCGGAGAGTACTATCTGGCCATCCATTTAGTTTAGTAGGGCAACACCTCTCAACGGCGACGACAAGCAGCTACCCAGGAGGAGGATCACGACAAGCAGCTACCCAGGGCTATGGCACAAGGCGACGCCGCGTCGAGCAGCGCTTAGGCAGCGTAGGCATACCGCGATGCGGGGAGATACAGTTTTACGGTAGCAAGGGGATTGGGAGGGATCACAACCGTTTGAAGGAGGAGGAGGCTATCTGGCCGTCCAGATCGCATCGCAGGTCACATCTACCCACGAATGGAAGCAACCGGAGAGATCCCGGCCGTCAGAGGCCGGAGAGGACTATCTGGCCATCCATTTAGTTTAGTAGGGCAACACAACACCTCTCAACAGCGACGACAAGCAGCTACCCAGGAGGAGGATCACGACAGGAAGATCTAAGGGAGAGTGGATTTAGATTCCTGAGGCCTAACTCTACCGAAGAGGACAGAGTCTAAGAAAAGGAAGAACACTGGACACAGCAGGCCTTTCCAATTACGGAAAAGGCGCTGCTCGGGCTGACGAAATCCTCTACGTGGCACGAAGGGCCCACTGCAGCAGTACATTTGCTCTTTGAATTTGCTGAGGCATATTCTACAAGGGCCCTACAGAGGAGCGAATCTTGCTGACAACCGAGTCCAGATTGAGGCAGCGAAGGTAACCGTAGCATTCTGGACTCAAGGAGCACATGCGCTTCACCAAGAGAAACCCTGCTTAGGACAACAGGCAAGGCGAGAGCAGGGGAGGTACAAGATTACACCGAAGAGAGAATCTGTCTAAGCTCAAGCCAGCTGCAGAATTCGATCGTGCAACCATCTGTTCAAAGCCAGCTGCAACTTTCCAACCAGCTACTACGAGCATGTTCGTCACTTGAGGCATTCTTCGCCACCCATCTCTAACACTCCTCCACCCACCTCTACAGCGGACTGACACCCTATAACCCCTCCTTATTACTCTTCTCTCAGCTTTCACTGAGATCCCACTAATATCTTCTACTCTCATGACTCATCCCACTAAATACATTACCTCCGCCTTCAGCTCAACTCAACCCTAGTACTACCCATCTCACCAACCTTCCTCTCGTCAGCCGAATATACCGTTCCACCACCTCGCCTTGCCTCATATTGCCCTTCTCCTCATCCCCTAGCCAACAAGTTCAGACATATAATATTAGGTAGATGTGTGCATACTTAAAAAAAAGGGGAAAAATCCGCGATTCTATCCCCATCTATCCCCTTCTACCCCATTGTGCTGTTTTTTTTTGTCCCCCCGGGATATTTACTTGCTGCCAGTCCGGAGTTCCCCCTTGTTTTCCCCCTACTCCCTCACGGTTTCTCCCTCTCTCCTCCTCCAGCTTACAGATTGCCTCCACAGCACTATCCTGTAGTAACAAGGCTTACTCCCTCACGGTTTCTCCCTCTCTCCTCCTCCAGCTTACAGATTGCCTCCACAACACTATCCCGTAGTAACAAGGCTTGGTTCTCAATGAACTTAGCAATACCCCCACAGGGTTGCCAGGGTTAAATAGTCGTTCCTGTTTCAGCACAACATACATAGTTAGTTCCAGCGAAGGCCGCGACGCGGCCCCTTTTAAGCAGGCAGTTCAAAACAACACTCCTGGGTCCCCTAATCAACAAATGGGAAAGACAACAATGAACATCATCGATAATGAAGCTTTAAAATTCCTGATTGAAAAAACAAAAGTTGAAGGTGAACAAATTACAGAGAAACAAATAACAAAAGGGAAGGAAGAAGAAGTGATTGTGTGGAAATACCCTGATGGGAAGGTGTTTGAATTGGACGACCTGCATGAGAGGCACGGTGTGGTTTTCGACTTTGCTCGTAATGGAGCGGATCTCATGCCGGTAGAAAAGAGAAAATGGATTATAGCGACAGCTGAAACAGGACCTGATTCATCACTTCAGCCTGTCCGTTGGCTCCAGGATGTCTCCCAGAGGTCATGTCCAGTCTGGAATGCAGGTAGTCTTACAGAAAGACTGCCAATTGTCCTTGCAGAATTAGGGGTCTCTCTCACCGGCAATGGAGGATTGGCACCCATGGACATTCACACACCTCTCAAAGAACAGCTCTCTGACCAGAGGTACTCTGGCCTTAGCAGGAAAGGGGATAAACTCAACATACTTAGAGAATCTATCGATACAGACCATTACCTGTCTCATCCCACGTGGCGTGGTTTTGCCCAAATCTGTGAAGTCAATGGACACAGTCTCCCCTGGACCATCAGGGATAGGTAGACGTTTGAGTAGTCCCATAAGAGGCCACCTGTGAACCTTGTTCCTCTGGCACAACTCGCATGTCTCCAAGTAATGCAGGATATCGCTCTTCATCTTAGACCAATAGAAGCGTTGGGTCAAGGCGACGTACGTCTTTAAGAACCCAAAGTAACCACGAGCATCATGACTCTTTGAAATCAGATGAGTAATGATCTTGCGATCATTAGGGATACACAAACGCTCTTCCCCCTCGCTGATTATGTACAACAAGCCTGAAGTCAAGGCATAGCCTGACTCGAAATTGGGGTCAGTCTCTAGATTCCTAAGGATGGGGGCAAAGACTGGGTCCTGAGGCAACGCAACAGCGATGGCCTGTCTGGTGGAATCAGCAAAGGAGTAAGTATCAACAATGGCAGCAAATGAATCAGGTCTACGTTACAATGCATCAGCAACCTTGTTATAGCATCCCTTCTTGTGCTTTAGTTCAAAGTCAAATCCGTCAAGGAATTTGAATGTACCTCGACAGTTTATTATTTAACTCACCTTGGGTCTTCATCCACTGTAGAGTGGAGTAATTAGAATGGATCTTGAAGAGTCTCCCAAGCAAGAAATGTTTCCACTGTTTGAGGGCACAAACGAGAGCATACAATTCCTTTTCATACGTAGATGCCTGAATTATTTGCACCTTTATCTTCTTACTCGTGAAATCCACCGACTTTAGACCAGTCCCATCATCTTGTTGAAGGATGACACCAACGTCATATTGACGTGCGTCTGTGGTCGACACAAATGGCAAGGTCGGGTCAGCCAGTTTCAGCACAGGTGCTTGGGTAAGTGCTTTCTTCAATCTGGAGAAAGCTAACTGACACGTAGTTGTCCACTTGAAGGGAACATCCTTAGCTAGCAGATTTGTCAGGGGTCTTGCAATAGAGGAAATTTTTTTGCTAAACTTCCTGTAGTAAGAGGCTAACCCCATGAAAGATTTGATGTCCCTCACAGTCTGTGGGGGTGGTCATTCCCTGACAACCACCACCTTAGACAACTCTGGGGAAAGGCCATCTCCCAAAATCATATGTCCCAAATACACGACAGACGAGGCACCAAAATATGACTTTTCTTTGTTGAGTTTGTATTTGTTATTTATTAGAATCTGCAGGACCTTTCTGAGATGATCAACATGGTCTTCAACAGTTTTGCTGAACACCAGAATGTCATCCAGATACACCAAAACAAACTTATCCAAAT